AATTCAAGAATGCCAGCTTTCTTCTAGATTCACAACTTACTTTAAGCCGTGTGGGTTGAAGTTAGTTACCCGTGGTACATGCTATGTCTGTAAGTGTGTACGGCTAACCGATTTGAGCAACAAATCCCCGACAACAAACACGATTTTAGAAAGAACAGTATCGAAGGGTAGTGAAACTGGTAGATTTTTAGCCGTACAACTGTCGGGGGTTCGGGTTCATCTCAGTTTCAACACGTTAGGGTTCGGGTTCAACCGGTGAGGTAAGGCTAAACTTTGACACCAAGAGGCCTACGACGTGAACAAGCACTGAAATATATCTCTACATTTCCATTTCATGTCTGTATCAAGATTTACATTCCCCCCACATTACACACCTCCCCCTCACACACTACCCACTTTAACTTGATGTAACATGAGAACCATCGTCACAGTGGTCGTCTGCTTAATAGACCGCCCGTAGTACCAGACAACTTCCGTTCACACGATGGCCTAACTGCTCGGTGGCCTAACTTCACACGATGGCCTAACTGCTCGGTGGCTAACTTTACACGTTAACCTAACTTCATACGATGGCCTTTCTTCAACCGATGGCCTAACTGCTCGGTGGCCTAACTTTACACGTTAACCTAACTTCATACGGTGGCCTTTCTTCACACGACGGCCTAACTGCTCGGTGGCCTAACTTCACACGATGGCCTAACTGCTCTGTGGCCTAACTTCATACGATGTCCTAACTTTGCTCGGTGGCCTAACTTCTATAGTTGGCCAAAGAGAATCTTATAATATCAAGCGACCCTAACCTGACCCAAAAATTGACCCATTCGTTATGTGGCCAGTTTTTACAAGAAACGTCTATCAGGCAAAGAGGTTTATTCATACCAGGCAGTCTATCAGATTGTAGGAAAAAAAGTCACAGGAAAAAAAACACAGGAAAAAAAAACACAGAAAAAAAGTCACAGGAAAAAAGTCACAAATATATATTTGCATGATATCTGTTAATACTTTTATGTATCAAATATTTAGAGAGTGCAAATTAACTTAGGATTAATTAAATGTAATGTAATATGTGTAGGCTGTATACGCATAGGAATTTTTATAATTCATCTAAAAATATGTATTATGAAGTATGTAGATTGTAATTATTTTAAACTTAAGATTAGTAGCATTTAATCAAATGCTCCAAAGTCCACGTTTTTCATAGTGTTTTTTTTAATACCAACATTAAATTACCGTGAAATGGTTCGTTCATCTGACTTGCTGCCCTCAACTCATGGCAAAAATAGTTATGTTTAGTTCAACCACCTTTACTGCCCACATTTATCACGCTCATTACATAACAAAACTTAGGATCAAAACACAAAGCCGACAAGGTTCAAAGGCTGTCATTGACGCATAACGTCAACAACACAAAATATGTTCGGACAATGCCTACTGGGGAGAGGCCGACCAGAGAATAGCCTACGGCAAAATGTGCCTAAATTTCTTTTATAATTAACTTTTCTACCGCGTATTTAACTAAATACGTAACAAAAGTTGAGATTGTTGTGTTAATTACCTTAGAGTATTTTTACTTACAATTGTTATAAATCATAATGCTTTTAACGCCTATAAATAATTTATGCTATCAAAAAATACAACCCACAACAATAAACATACAAAATTTTACAATTCTTAACAAATTAATAAAAATATTTCTAAAAAGATTTTTGTGACTTTTTTTCTGTGACTTTATTTCTGTGACTTTTTTTCCGATAAAATTTTTCCACTGTGAATTTTTTTCTGTGACTTTTTTTCCTAGCAAAAACTGTGACTTTTTTCTGTGTTGTTTTTTTCCTGTGACTTTTTTTCCGTTTACCGTCTATCATCCGTTGTCCTCGAATGGTCGGGTTTTTTTTTGTTTTGTCCATAAACCTTTTGTCCATGTCGGCCTAATATACTTTTTTTTTACTGCTACAATTAAAGTTTGAAAATAACACATCAATCTACTCTAAAAACAAGTCTTTTAGATCTACATATTGTCATACAAGTTTTTTAGATCTACATACTCTCATACAAGTCTTGTAGATCTACATACTGTCATACTTTTAGACCTACATACAAAGCCTTTTATTTTCTATTTTTATTTCGCTGACGTTAATCCCACCCAGGGAGACACCTACAGTGAAATGGATTAACTGGATTAACAGACCCACGTAACACGTTGACTGTGTGTAGTATTTCAAGCGGATTTGGGTACTCTGGGACTGTTTATCAAAAACATTTCGGCAAACTATTTGGTCAACTATTTGACAAACAATTCGGTAAACAATTCGGTAAACTATTTGGTAATCAAGTCGGTACACTATAGTTATCGTACCACAACCCATCAATAAAATGAAGTTCACTTTTCGCCAGGGAATGTTTAGAGTATACAAAGATACTCACCTCACCACACCTCTGCTGATTCACCAGCCCCCCCCCCCCCCCCTCACAAACCACTTACTAAAATTCCCCCCCCCCCCCAGCCTTAAGTGGACGCCAATCGCCGCGGGCCAGTTTATTTGCGCTAAAACAAGCCGGTTCAGATCTGGTGGACGTCTGTTTTAGACACGTGTCACGTGGGCTGGTAGCCGGACACGGCTGTGTACCACTGGCCACTCGTGGGAGGGGGGGGGGGGGGGGTGACGAGTGTGTTTTGACCTCCACACGACCTTTGCCAAAAAAAGATTTCTCGATACCTTTAAACAATAGGAAAACATTGAGATGTTGCCGGCGGTTCTTTCATTAGTTTCTGCTGTGTGGTTTTTAACGAAGTCTCCTACACAAAATGTCCTGGTTAGATGTCCACCTAATGTCCGAATCTACTCAACCAAAACGTCAAACTCAGAAGTGAACCCAAAATGTCCTATCAAGAAGTGACCCTAATGTCCTACAAAAATCCAAAATGTTCTACCATCAAGTGAACCCAATGTCCTACCAAGAACTGATCCCTGTGTCCTATCTAGAAGTGACCCCAATGTCCTACCATCAAGTTCTCCCAATGTCCTACCAAGAACCCAAAATGTCCTACCATCAAGTGACCCCAATGTCCTACCGAGATGTCAACCTATCGAGTCACCAGCTTGACTCGTACTATGCCCCCCCCCCCACACACACAGCCCCCACCAGTTTGTTGACCGTGACGTCACACTCAGTCAACAAGACGCTTATGTTTGACTTGACCATTCCGTCTTACAACTGCAGTCGTTTAGCGGTCAGGTCAAATTCGTACAGATGGTATCGCCATAACGGTACACTCGCGCCAACCCTAACCTAAACCCTACACGTAACCAGTAACACGAGCATAACTCTACACAATCATAATCATACACATACCACTAACCCTATCTATAAGCCTAATCACACTACCATCCCACAAAAATGTAAATATCGTTAAGACGATACTTACATTTCGAATACGTGGGTACTTTTAATCAATTACAGCCACTCAAACTAGCTTTTATCGCTGCGACGCAACACGCTCAAGATTTTTACAATTTAAAGATTTCCTTTCAACGATTGTATTGTTTGCTCGCGTTCACATTTTTTTACCGCGGTTCTCTCATCTTTGTGCAAGAAACAAAATACGAGTTAAAAGATAGCGACTCGGGACAGGAAGAAACACTCACGCCAGCCCCGCGTATTGATCTGACCGTATTAGCCTCGGGTTATTATTAGTAATGCCTCTTAAAATATGAACTTTTTTTTGTTCATGCTTGCTAGTGTCGCCTCTTTGAACGGGGAACAATAAAACTCGCGGGAAGAAGGGGGGGGGGGGTACACGTCTTCACGCTACGGGCCCGGCTGACGAACCCCTACACTGGGTTCTTTGTCCGAAGTTTAAGAGGAGGGGGAAAAAAGGGGGAGGGGTGGGGGAACTACGGCGTCGCCGATGGTTCGTTTTCGCTGTGTTTTTCTTCACTGGCCCAAAGCTTATTGGCCGATTACATTGATTGTGTGCATCGTAATCACCGCTCCAGCTCCGCACTACCGAGCCAGTCACTAACCCCTCCCCCCCCCCTCCCGCTATCACCCCCCCCCCCACCCCCGACCCTATACCGCAGACACGTCGCCTATCATAACATAACGACACGAGAGACTAAGGCGAGAAGGCCAAACGTGATTAAAGCCGGTGTTAGTTAGCCGTCGCTCTTGTTTGTTCTTTCTTCGCCTAGGCCGTTGGCCCAATTTGTAGTTTTTAATTAGTCGCCGAGCCTACAGACGTGGACTTAATGTGTTTCTAGACCGGCAAGATTTAGATCAAGCACGCGTCGCCAAGAACAATTGTTTATCTTTACAGATAATTATTCTCGTAACTGGATTAAAAAATTCGTAATCTCTGAAAGTTATAATTAACTTTATACTCAGTTAACTGTGTAACTAAAAAAAAAAACGACTTTTCTAATGGATAATGGATTTCTATAAAGTGGATCTGGAGTTGAATGGATATCGTGTTGTACGAGTCGAACCCTATCCGACACTCACATCATCACCCTCAAGTGGGATCTTACAATAGTTCGTGTGACGGGGGAAAAAAAAACGTCCGGCGCCTTGATGAAGTAGTGTAGCCTAAACATGACGAAAGCTGAGGTTTAGCGTGTGCGTGTGTGTGTGTGTGTACCCACGCTAGCGAGCGACCCCGTGGATTTCTTACCCACATCAATCAATTGGGCAGGCCGGTGCTGGATGGATCGCAATTACCACGTTAGCTAGTTCTACCACAGTGGTGGCTTGTGTTTTTTTTCTAACCGGCGAGCACAGCTGTCAGACGTCAGGTTAATTCTGATCGTCTGCTGCGGCGTTTGTTTTTGGAGCGCTAGGACCGCGCGTTGAGGAAGGTTAAAATATTTGACGCGGATATTGAATTGTTTTTTTCGATTCTCTGGATTATTGTCTGGATTATTGTTTGAAAAACTTTTTGGATTTAGCGCGCGTGTGTGTTTTCACGAGGATTTATCTGTGAGTGTTAGAGGGATTGAAGGATGAAGAAAAGATCGCGACGAGGGAGGGGGAGGGGCAAGAGAGGCGCCCCAGCACCCAAGGAGACAGCCTCTGGGGGAGGTTTGGACAACCCATCCACCTCTTCCCCTGCCCTCAGCGAGGACACAGAGGTCGAGGACGGTCCCGAGGCGACCCCTGACCCACAAGGGGAAGATAACTGTGGAATCGACGGGCCCGTAACTCCGTTCTCTTCTTCAAGTAATCGACATTGTGACGGCGCCGTAAGTGAAAACGTTGACTCGAATCTCACGGCAACGCCGGCTGATAGATCCGGAAACGTACCCAGCCCGGCTTATTTATCCGGCGTCCCGGCTTATTTGACCGGCGCCCCGGCCTACTTGACCGGCGCCCCCGCCCACAGTAGCAGCAGCAACAGCAGCGTAGACGGCGACGGCGGGTCGGACGCCGGCGACAACGAGCAGATGCACACGGGGTTTATGCAGACCGGACCCAAGAACTACCGCGTGGGCAGCACCGTGGTCAACCTCAACAACTGCTCGGACGACGACATCACGCCGGAGTTCCGGCAGAACGACATCTGCCTGCAGGTTGAGTGTGGCGAGAACCGGGCGCTGATGTACATGTCCAAGTTGTACCAGGGCAGCAAGGGCAAGTGCATCGAGCTGGGGGACAAGTGGTACACGCCCAACGAGTTCCAGGCGGTGTCTGGCAGGGAGTCGGCCAAGGACTGGAAGCGGTCAATCCGGCACCACGGGCGGAGTCTCAAGCTGCTGCTGAGCAAGAACGTCCTGGACGTCCACCCCGCGGCCTGCAGGTGTGACTCGTGCAGTCAGCTACAGCTGCTGGTGAGTTGTCGGTCTTTGCTTGGGGGGGGGGGGGGGGGGGCGTCAAGTCTTGTTGGGGGGGGGGGGGGCAGGAGTAGGTGTTTGCTGGTTGGGGGGGGGGGCAAGTCTCGGTGGGGGAGGTAGGAGTAGGTTTTTGCTGGTTGACGGGGGGGGGGGGGGGGGTTCAAGTCTCGGTGGGGAGGGGGTTCAAGTCTCGGTGGGGAGGGGGGGGGGGGAATTGCGTATGTGTTGGTTGGGGGGGGGGGGGTTAGAATTAGGTATCATTTTGGATGGGGAGGGAAGATTAGTCAATAATTGGTATTTGATGTAGGGGATGGGGTGGTTCTCGTAATCTGTTTGGCAGGTTATAACAACCAAGGTTTAGGGTTAGTTTTTAACACTGTCATTTATCTTACCAATTACCCTATCATATATCACCCTTGTCAAATCACCACCATCAACTTGTATCACCACTAATCACCCCATATACAGCCCATACACTCATATAACCACTAAACTTAAACACATTACAAACACATACATGACCCCTTACTACAACCACGATTTGACTTTACCAAACTAAACTCCAAGCATAACATTCCGTTTTCCACAAATTCCCAACGCTATTTTTAATTACCAGTCGAACCCCCCTTGTATACAAAACCCGCACTTGAAATCAAAATGTAGCGAGCCTTCCCTCTTCACACGTAACCTACTTTACGGCGAGAAATATGGCGGCTATTCACTGCCTGTTTTCTTTCAAATTTCCGCTATCGGCTCAGATTACGACGTTAGGGCGAAACGCAACGAGTCAAGGAATAGAAATCTACGGCGCCGTAACTAAGCTAAACTTCACTAAAACGGTGGTTATTTTTGTAGCTTTAGGGGATAGACTAGATGTTTAGTGAATGTTTTCTAGAAAGATCGGAAAGAGACGTGTTATCGGGGTTGATCTCGGCGGATCGCCCTCGGTGTATGCGGCGTATTGTCTTTGTTTACACTAAAAACTGGGTTAACCCCAATTCCACACCACGAGAAATGTGTGCTCGAGCCAAGGGAGGCGACCGTGAGAATTGCGCTCCAAATTTAGGACAGGCAGAGTTAACCTTGATTTACTTGATTCGACTGATACGGCTTCGTGTGGCTTTAAGATTTAGCTCATCCGTAATGGTTTATTGGTTGTTGGTTTTTTTTTGTTTTTGTTTTTTTTAAACTAAGGAACTTGATAGATAATAAATAAAATAATGCCGTAAATTGTAAAAAGAACGTTAATTTTGAGGCTGAAAAGAATTGGGGCAAACAAAATTTTGGATGCTATTGATTGAAGAGACGAGGAGGCTATGTAATAATATACTTGAAAATGTGTGTGTGTGCGTGTATATATGTATATATTTGAAATAAAAAGTCGTGTAGGAATTGAAAATAGAAACCTCAGTCCTAGATCAAGTAGACAGGTCTTACGCTATTGTGTTACACCAGGGCCAATGTATGCTCGGGCTTATTTAGAGCTGGGTTGGCTCAGGGACTTGGACACACTAGGGTCGCCGTACACTCAACCACCACCCACCCGAATTGTCAAGTGGTGACCTATGACCTTCGAATACCACTTTGTCCAACACTGTTATTTGACTGGGTGGCAAGCAAACACTTCCTGTGTGTTCGAGTGTTTCAATTTTTTTTAAATTTCAAATTTCCCTTTTTTGGTTACAACTGTCACTATACAATTAGACACCCCCCCCCCACACACACACACCTACACACACACCACCCGAACTGATGAATGCGAGTTGTATCGAGTGGTTCAAATTTTTTTTAAATTTCAAATTTGCCTTTTTTGGTTACAACTGTCACTATACTGTTGAAAATTAGACACCCACACACACACCTACACATCTACATACACACACACCACCCGAACTGATGAATGCGAGTTCTATCGATCAATCTTTCTATAACTAACTGACGGGAAATGTGTCGTCGAGTTGAGGCTGTCGGGGGAGGGGGGGAGGGTGTCGCCTCTTTGTGTCAAGCGGAAAATGTGTCACCGGATTTTTAATCTGTCTGAAAAAGTGTCGCCGATTAAGAATCAGTCGGGAAAAGTGTCACCGGATTAAGAATCAGTAGGGAAAAGTGTCACCGGATTAAGAATCAGTAGGGAAAAGTATCACCGGATTACGAATCTGTCGAGAAAAGTGTCACCGGATTAAGAATCTGTCGGGAAAAGTGTCACCGGATTAAGAATCAGTAGGGAAAAGTATCACCGGATTAAGAATCTGTCGGGAAAAGTGTCACCGGATTAAGAATCTGTCGGAAAAAGTGTCACCGGATTAAGAATCTGTCGGGAAAAGTGTCACCGGATTAAGAATCAGTAGAGAAAAGTGTCACCGGATTAAGAATCTGTCGGAAAAAGTGTCACCGGATTAAGAATCTGTCGGGAAAAGTGTCACCGGATTAAGAATCAGTAGAGAAAAGTGTCACCGGATTAAGAATCTGTCGGGAAAAGTGTCACCGGATTAAGAATCAGTAGGGAAAAGTTCACTGGATTTAGAATCAGTAGGGAAAAGTGTCACCGGATTAAGAATCTGTCGGGAAAAGTGTCACCGGATTAAGAATCAGTAGGGAAAAGTGTCACCGGATTAAGAATCAGTAGGGAAAAGTATCACCGGATTACGAATCTGTCGAGAAAAGTGTCACCGGATTAAGAATCTGTCGGGAAAAGTGTCACCGGATTAAGAATCAGTAGGGAAAAGTATCACCGGATTACGAATCTGTCGAGAAAAGTGTCACCGGATTAAGAATCTGTCGGGAAAAGTGTCACCGGATTAAGAATCAGTAGGGAAAAGTATCACCGGATTAAGAATCTGTCGGGAAAAGTGTCACCGGATTAAGAATCTGTCGGAAAAAGTGTCACCGGATTAAGAATCTGTCGGGAAAAGTGTCACCGGATTAAGAATCAGTAGAGAAAAGTGTCACCGGATTAAGAATCTGTCGGAAAAAGTGTCACCGGATTAAGAATCTGTCGGGAAAAGTGTCACCGGATTAAGAATCAGTAGAGAAAAGTGTCACCGGATTAAGAATCTGTCGGGAAAAGTGTCACCGGATTAAGAATCAGTAGGGAAAAGTTCACTGGATTTAGAATCAGTAGGGAAAAGTGTCACCGGATTAAGAATCTGTCGGGAAAAGTGTCACCGGATTAAGAATCTGTCGGAAAAAGTGTCACCGGATTAAGAATCTGTCGGGAAAAGTGTCACCGGATTAAGAATCAGTAGAGAAAAGTGTCACCGGATTAAGAATCTGTCGGGAAAAGTGTCACCGGATTAAGAATCTGTCGGGAAAAGTGTCACCGGATTAAGAATCAGTAGGGAAAAGTGTCACCGGATTAAGAATCTGTCGGGAAAAGTGTCACCGGATTAAGAATCAGTAGGGAAAAGTTCACTGGATTTAGAATCAGTAGGGAAAAGTGTCACCGGATTAAGAATCTGTCGGGAGAAAAATGTCACCGGATTTTTAATCTGTCTGAAAAAGTGTCGCCGATTAAGAATCAGTCGGGAAAAGTTCACTGGCTTAGTGATGTACATGTTTGTAGGTCTATTTTTTCATATCACGATACGTGGGGGGGGGGGGGGGGGGGGGGAGGGGGAGGTTATCGTAAAGCACAAGACACTTCTCTGTCGACGTCAAGATTTGGAACTTTTCCGTTATAAGGGCACAGTCGACCATTGCTCGACCTCCCGTCAAAGATAATACAGACAAGTAGGATTAAAAGCGGTATGGATTAGCACTAGGATTAAAAACGGTATGGATTAGTATGTGGGTATTGATTACGTTTTATCAAGCCGTCTGTGATTAGCTTTAAACATCTGCTGCCTGTGATTAAACAGTTTAAATTGAACAAATCAGTAAACTAAGGCTCAAATTATAAAATCTAGCTATAAAATTATTTCTTCATCTTGTCCAGGAATTCTATATAGGCATTTCTTCATCTTGTCCATAAATTTGATATAGACATTTCTTCATCTTGTCCATAAATTTGATATGGACATTTCTTCATCTTGTCCAGAAATTTGATATGAACATTTCTTAATCTTGTCCAGAAATTTAATATGGACGTTTCTTCATCTTGTCCAGCTAAACTTGATATGGACATTTCTTTGTCTTGTCCAGAAATTTGATATGTACATTTCTTCGTCTTGTCCAGAAATTTGATATGGACATTTCTTCATCTTGTCCATCTAAACTCTGCTTACCATCGTTAGCTAAACGTTGATGCACAGGATTGTCTACAACAGAAGTTAGGTTAAGGGCAAAAGTCTCGTTATAACCTGGCTAATTAACGAACTCTAACCAACAACTAACGTCATTCATATAGGTTAATTACGTGACTCTTATGTACTCAGTCGTTTAATTTTAAAATTTGATTAGAAACTATGGCTTAAATTATCGTAGTTAACGGAAGGTTTTATGGCCGATTCAACTGTCATTAACCGTCAAATTCCACTGTCATTAACCGTTAGATTCAACTGTGATGTACCAGTCAGATTCAACAGTCACTAACTGGTCTATGGTCCAAATGGCATTCACCTATTTCCATTTTTCACAACTAAATTACTTTAATTAATGAGTAAGATCTACGCCCCACCCTCCCCTCACCACAAAAGATGACGGTGAACTCTACTTCATCTATCCTTACGATAATCAGATTCACCATTACACAAACCACAAGTCAATTTATTCAATAACGGCGCGTTTTAGATAAACAAAACAACCGAATGAAGTCTGTCCAATTATTAGGTGACCTTGTCTTAGAAAGGGGCTGAAACGAAAACAAACCTCCCAGCGCAAGTAACTCTGTCGTGACTCACGAGTGAATTTATCTTGTTATTTCCCTTGGGCCGCAAACTTCGTTGTGATGGAACGATTTACACCAAGAGGAACAATTTTATTGGCCAGCTTTTTGTGAGCCATACTTTCACTTTTACACGTTAAATTACAACTACGGAATCTCGTTTGTTTACTGGAAT